CGCCAGTGTCATACTAACTATTTTGTAATCTGTGGTATCACAGCCATGCCGCTGCCTTTCGTGGAATATTCTATTTAGGCCTCATTTGAAGATAACCATGCTATAGCACCGGGGGGACACTGATTGTGAGATAAAAAAAAGCGGTTTATGTAACCCTACTATGCATACAGAGCATTAGTAAGCTAACCCACACTACAAGAACTCAGTGTTATTTCCTTTCATTGGTTCCTTGGTCCGGAAGGGCGGGTGCTCTAATTTGAACAGGAAATCCGTAATCGGAAAACTGTTTAAAAGTTTACAAGTTTGTGTTCTATATTCTTTGTGTGTGTGTGTCTGTGTTTGACAGAATATCGTATTTTATGTCGTTTACGTACGTACAATTTAAAGTAAACAATTTTTTTGTGATTTCCTATCTGTTTTATTATACCTACATAAGTAAGATACGGCCATTGCGAAAGTAGCTTCATTGCCACTATCGCAGACATCGAGCTTCTCGAATTATTTTTTTAACACAATAATTTTCTTTAGGTAATTATATTTTTAATCATTTAACTGCTAGATTTATACACCTTTCGCAATCAGGTAGATAGGTGCGGGTTTTCAATCCTGTCTGAAACCTGGACCGAGGGTTTTTTTTTCTGGTAAAAGAATTCTCTTTATATAGCAAATGAGTAAAATAAATTATAATCGGTTCTAAATAAGCTATCCACCCGCCTTCTTAAGAACTAGACCAGCTATACTCTAAGTGTGTTCCGCGGAACCCTAGGGTTCCGTGATACCTCTGTCGGGGTTCCGCAAGAATTTAGAAATAAAAAAATCAAAACACCTCTCTCTGGTCGCTCCGCGGCTGTGCGGACTCCGCGGCCGCGCGGAGACAAAACGCTATGAATGTTATTTATTTATTTATTTGTATTTGTATAAGCTTGTGTTACATTAGCTGGTACAATATCTCATAAGTTTGGTCTCAACAATTTTATACTTGTACAACGCGTTCGCTCTAAGTTTGCCGGTCTGTGGAATGCGCGTACCCTCCCCCACGTGACAACAAAACTTATAATGTGTCATAGTTTTACCCAAATATCTAACGTACACAATTTTTATTGTTACAATTAAATAAAAAATTTCGAACGTCATACACTCATACCTATCGCCAGCGGCAAACTTAAAACGAGCGGGTAGGTATACTTGTAAGCGCTCAGTCTCTTTGATAAAAGCCGCCTCTGAATTAGACGCTATAGTTGTCAACTAGCGACTTTCGTCTCTAACTTCAAAGGATAAAGTCGATATTGTTTACAACGCTATTTTTAAATTTCTGTTTTTATTTTTGCTTTTTGTTTATCAAAGGTGCCGACTCGAGTATTTTCGAGAATATTTGAGATCGAGTCTAGGACTAAGTATAAAAGCGGCGATCGCGCGTTGGCGTCGTCAGTTGATGATTAGCGTTCGGAGCGATAAGTTACTACCTACTTACAAGCTCGCTAGCGAGAAACTGGTGTTCATTGTTTTACTGCCTGCTGTATTCTGTTGTCTCAGTTTTATACATTTCTTCCCTGTAGGTTCTAAATTTAGTCTCTTATACGCAGTAACGATTGTGCATTATTTAAACCCCACTATCCTGACTTGTAACATTATAAATAAAGAAGAATGGAACGTTGGCTTAAAGGTGTTAAACGTGTTCCAACAACATCTTCTAATGACGCTGAATGTTCAAAAGCAATGCGCGCGGAGAATTTAGCAATCACCGATCCAGAAGATGATGCCACGAGTGCCACGACGTCAAGCTCGACGGTTTCAAAGACGAAAAAAAGGAAGTATGATGAATCTTATATCAGTTTCGGATTTGTTGATTCCAACGGCTCACCTCTCTGCATGCTCTGTAGTAAACTGCTTCCTAATAGTTCCATGGCACCTGCCAAATTGCGTCGACATTTAGAAACCGTACACCCCGAGACTAAAGACAAGAATAAAGAATTTTTTGTTCGCAAAAAAGATCAGTTATTAGAAAGTCAAAAAAATATGATGCATGTAACACAAACTACCAACGAAAAGGCCACGGAGGCATCATACTTAGTTAGCTATCGCATTGCACAAGCAGGTGAAGCGCACACTATCGCTGAGAAATTAATAAAACCATGTGTATTAGACATAACAAAATGTATGCTTGATGAAAAATCTGCAAAGCATCTTTCTACTGTTCCGCTATCAAACGATACTGTTTCACGACGAATCCATGATCTGGCAAGCTACGTCAAACAAGAACTAGTTACACGTCTACAAAATACACGATTCGCTTTGCAAATGGACGAGTCGACTGATGTCGCTGGTTTGGCTATCCTGCTGGTTATTGTGAGATATCCATATAAAAGTTCTTTTGAAGAAGACATGCTTATGTGTTCATCGCTGCTTACAAACACTACCGGGGAAGAAATTTTTAATAAAATAAATATATTTTTTGAAGAACATAATCTCAGTTGGAACAATTGCATTGACATTTGTACAGATGGGGCCAAGGCGATGACAGGTAAAACAGCAGGAGCAGTGTCACGAATGAAAAATAAAGCGCCTAATTGTAGTTCCAGTCATTGTATTCTGCATAGACAAGCACTTGCGATGAAGCAAATGCCGTCTAATCTAAAATTAGTTATGGATGAAGCGGTAAAAATAATTAATTTTATCAAATCACGACCACTACAATCCCGATTGTTCTCATTATTGTGTGAAGATTATGGCAGCAAACATAAAACACTGCTGCTCCATACAGAAGTGCGATGGCTGTCTCGGGGAAAAACTTTAACAAGGCTATTTGAACTTAGAGCCGAGTTACAAATGTTTCTTTCAGCAGATACTTCTTTTAATTTGAAGGACCGTTTGTATGATAAAACTTGGTTGTTCCGATTGTCTTTTATGGCGGATATCTTTCAAAAACTTAACGAATTAAATTTATCATTGCAAGGTAAACAGACAACAGTGTTTCAGGCCTATAATAAAATAACTACTTTTAAAAGAAAATTAGATTTTTGGATCATTTGCATTGGTAAGAAAGAAATAGAAAGTTTTACGTTACTCACTGAGTTTGTTAGCGAAAACGACTCAGAAATGTTTGAAGATAATGTGTTTGAAGAATTGGTCCAATATCTCAGTTCGATGCGCGCATCTTTTGAAAAGTATTTTCCCGAAGAACACAATACAAAAATTAAAGTGAACTCCTGGATTCATAATCCTTTTTTACCCAACTTGGAAAAGCCTGAAAACATGTCAAATGAGATATATGAATCTCTTTTAGAAATGTCATCAGACACAAGTATGGAGTCATTGTTCAAAACGACGCCTCTTAATGATTTTTGGTGCAGAATCCAAGATGAATATGCAATGCTTGGCCAAATGGCTCTGGATATTCTTCTCCCGTTCCCAACTACATATTTGTGCGAAACAGGATTCTCTACCTACGCAGCCACGAAAACAAAATATCGCAATAGACTGGACGCCGAAGCTGATATGAGACTCCAACTTTCTTCCATCAAACCTGATATCAAGCAATTGATGAAAAATAAAAAACAGTTTCATACCTCCCACTAGTTAGATTTTTTCTTTTTTAATGTTTTCTATTATTGTCCTTACCAAGTGGTGAAGTAAATAATAATTAGTAACGGATACATTGTACTTTTATTATGCTGATTAATATAGAATACACTTATAAAAATAATTGTTTTATTGTAGGGTTCCATCAAGTATTTTGCTTCCCAAAAGGGTTCCGTCATTTAAAAAGTTTGAGAACCACTGAACTAGACTAATAAGAACTAGGCATTTTCAGTTCCTAGTATATAACACGAGAGAAAAATATTAAAAAAACAGGAGATTTTTTTGAAATGAAAAACACAAACTTATTCTACTACATTGAGTCAGCTCGTGAATGACTTAATCATATCATGATTATTTTCAGGTGTGTAAATAAACAAAATGCGAGTAGTCACTATCTTCGCGTTGGCAGTGGTGGTGACACTGTCTCTGTTTCTGCGGTACAGCGAAGGCGCAGGATTGCACAGGTTTTAATTAACCTTTTAAGTGAACTATTTCCATTAAAAAGTTAGTCGTTCAATTCGAGTTTCAGAAGAAAATGCCTTACAAAAGTTACCGGAAAATGGTTTAAATCAGTTTTTTTGTGGTCAGACCTAAAGGTTTTTCTACAGTGGTTATACACTGTGGGAAAAAAGACATTGTTAACAAAAAGTATATAACACTGTTTTAAATCATATTTATTCAACTTTTGTACTTACGATTTTTTTTTCAAACATGTTTTGCATGCCCTTCTATTTTTTTTATAGTACCTCTGGCCAGGTTTCTTTACGTAACGTGGTATCAGGATCTCACGAAACCCATACCGGGAGATGATGGTTCACTGTTGGGTTTTTAGTGGGTAGGGCCTCATCCCGAGTAGCCGCTGACATAGTACCAGACTTTGCAGACTGAGCTATTGGCCGGATTTGGCGGGAGGCGGAGTCCCATATAATAACCCCGTCGCTTACCCAGGGGAGTTACATGAATCACGCATTTTCTCAATATTAAAAAAAGATGCCTTACGTGTTCATTATTAGAATTTCTTTATTTAGGTTTTCTCTACCCGAAGATGATGAAGAGCCTCGACTACGCCCCCTATACCGTGATTACAGCCTAATTCGCCGAGCCGCGCGAGCCGATGACGCCTTCGACGACTACGGCCATCTGCGGTTCGGCCGCTCCGAAGACTGACAGAAGCTCGCCCACAAACGAATCCCCCATAAACACAAGGACAATCCCAAACCGTGTCACTCCACAGTTTAAATGAAATGCTCGGAGTTCATATTTTTAATTATAATTGACTAGATTTAAATTAATGAAATATCAATTGGCTGGAATGATGTTTCTTAGATGTTGAAGTAAATAATAACTCTTGTATAGCCATGTATTTAATTAACAATTTGCAGGCGAAAATACTTTTATAAATTAAAACCAGTTGTTAATGATCTCATGAATGTAATATATAACCAAATAAATACATTTAAAACAGTTATTTATTACAAATAGTCATGTTATATTAAATTATTTATTCACGATACGAACTCGATACCGCCCTAAAATGACATTTAAAATATATATTTAATTAATTTTAATAACAAAGATCACTGTTAAGGCATTTCCCTATGGTTCTAGTCGTACCCTAATAAATATTAAATAGTTTATACACGTTTATATAGACCGTAAAATTAAAACATTTATTTGTTGTTTTCGCCTATCGTTGTTGTTTTAAAAATACGGTTAAATTATTGCAATTGGTGCAATCACTTACTAGTACTTTGTAGCACTATGAAATTTCATTTACATATAGTTGTTCCTTATTCTGATATTTATTGTATTATTGCAAGTTTTTATATAATGTAGGTAGATTCTTTAATAATGAGAAGCCCATAATTCGTTGTACTTATTAATAAAAACATTGATTGCATTGATGAACATTTTATTTATTTAGTGAGGATTTAAATTATGCAGTCTCGTACCTACAAAGCTATAGAATGTAATTGACTATTTTCAAGTATCGTCTTTGTATTTCTTAGTTTCTGGTTCTATCTCTATTACAATATAATTTAGGCACGCTTATTATCACTACCCTAAATATTAATTCAATATGAGACTAGTTAGTTTCTCCTTTAACCTATATTAATGTAGGTAATAGTTTTCATATATCGACTTTTACATTATAAATGGTTAATTGTACTTGGTGAAAATGAAGCGTATTGAAAAGAAATTATATCGAAAAATATTCCATCAAATTATGTATATACTTAACAATAACATCCATATAATTATGATCTTCCATATTGGTGTGTTATACACTTATACCACGAGTATTTTTTTATACAACGATCTTAATAATTTCAAATTTTGAAAGCAAGTGATCTTAATTTAAATGATGTCTCTTTTCTGTGAATTCCCGAGCAGTGCCTGTAAAAAAGAAGATTACAGTTATTCAAACAGAAATAGAAAATCACAATACGTAATCAATCACCTGAATAACTGAAAAAATAGTTTATTAATCAGTTAAATTAGGCCACACTTGCCAAAAAATTCTAATTATCTTTTTGTATACCAAGGTACGATTTTTTAGAGAGCACAGCATATTGCCACCCCGCCCTTGTGATGTTAAATGTGGAGTGGAGTCAAGTTGCGAAGATAAGTTGATGCGACAGAAAAATATGCCGCTCCGACCATCCTTCATCTATAAGCCCATAACATGCGCCCTACCCCGTGGTGCCCTCGAAACTTTAATAACAGACAAAAATACAACACCATTAAAATTAAATTATATTCCATTGTGGTCTTCAAGCTAGAGTTAACTTATCCGCTATGGCCGAAGAGAGAAAAATACATAGACGAACTATGGGTGGTCAATTGGACCGGCCTCGACTGCCCATAGTTCGACTGCCTCGACTCTTCCACACTATTTGCTCACTTAACAGATGTATAAGGAACTTTCAGCGCATTCTCTGTTTATGGCTATGGCCTTTGACTTGGTGTAAACGATGAAATAACAGAAAATAAAAAAAGCAAGGAAGCTAAATAACATTAGGGCTGTGCAGGGCCAATTGATTTGTAGCCAGCACCTAGTGATCAATATCTATAATAAATGTTGGTGATTCAATCAGGTATACAAGTTACATATATTTACCTTGTTGACAAAGTTGACTATGGCGGTTGCAGGTTGCTCCGGTTCCAGTTCAGCGAACACGTGACATTGGTTGTCCGCTCCCGATGATGCGCGCGCTACGAATGCGAAGATGCGTCTGCGGAATAAACATCATATTTATGTCTCAATCGGCGCAATATTTACACAGGAATACCGTCTTCACTAACCAAAATGAAAACTACCTGAATATAGGCGTACTCGCCTCCGTTCATTTACACTAAGTTGTTTACCCGAATTCCATTGGCACTCGTATTTGGGCTAACGACCAAGTATAATCGTGCCATTTGCCGCCAATTGAAAAGACAAATTCGATTTTTAAATTAAAAAGTAGGTATACCTACAAAGATCACAAGCCACCTTGTTGTGAACTTTTTTGATAGAAACTTTTTGTAAATATTTTACATATAATTGTTTTGTTATAGTTGTTTGTGATTGTGATAAGTTTGTTAGATCTATTTCTGATTATCCATTTTTTCGATAATTTCCATTAGTTTCATTCAGTTTTACAGTCCATTGCTATCACCCCTTATTAATAAACGAGGAATAAGCTTGGATTACTTACGCTATGTTTTGTCTCTGTTCACTGAATGACAAATGACATTTGAGTAATATGAACAAAACACGGCGTAAGTAGTCTAAGCATACTCCTCATTTATTAATGAGGGTGTATGAGTTTTAAATTCTTTCTCAATACGTTTTGAATAACCTATCACTGGTAAGAACTTACCAAAGCTTAGTAACTTGGATATTTTTGTAGGTATTAATGAAAAATTTACCTCTTTGCTACTATGATACCGTGTACGGCCAATAGTGTAAATCTACAATTGCCAATGGCCTATAGTTAGTATTTAGTACCTACCAAAGTAGGTAGCTATATATAGATGAGGTTAAGATGTTGCTTATATACTATTATTTCCAACGATCAATTCTTTTAAATCTTTATTAAGTAGGTATGTACTGTTTTAAAGATTCAAATTGAAGTAGGTATCCAACAAAAAAAGATGGCAGCGCAAGTGTGATTTTAATTTAGGAGCACATTGGTTGATCTTAAATAGTTCCAGTATTTTGTCAGCTTACTTCTCCGTCTGCGTTCCGTTGTCGGTGTAGGTGTATCTGCGGTCGTCGGGGTCGAGTCCGGCGTTGGATACCGTTGGGCGGGGAGTGCGGCCGGAAGAACAGCTTGCGGGCCGCGTCCGTTAAAGTGAACCTTACTGTGTGGCTTTGGAAAAGTGTTCGAATATTTGTTATCTTACTTCTCCGTCTGCGTTTTTTTGTCGGTGTAGGTGTATCTGTGGTCGTCGGGGTCGAGTCCGGCGTAAGAAACGCCATTAGCTGGGTAGAGCCGCCAGAAGAACAGCTTGCGAGCCGCGTCCGTTAATGTGTTGTCACCATCTTGAAGGGCTCTCTACTGGGTGGCCTTAGATAAGTGTACGAATATTTGTCAGCTTACTTCTCCGTCTGCGTTCCGTTGTCGGTGTAGATGTATCTGCGGTCGTCGGGATCGAGTCCAGCGTACGACACGCCATTGGCCGGGTAGTGCCGCCGGAAGAATAGCTTGCGAGCCGCATCCGTCAATGTGATGCCGCCGCCGAATACTTTGAAGTGCACCACGTGCGCTGGCGCCTAACGGAGCGGAAGGTTAATTTGAACGTTAAACTGAGGTCACGTTTACGCAACTATTATATGACAAGGTCGTTGAATAGTTTTAGAAAGAGACATGCAAGAGGAGTGGTTTGTTTAGATTGATTACAGATGACGGACTTATGAACAGCACTGTATCGTCATATTATAATTATTACTAGGACTATCAAGTTTGTCATTTTTAAACGTGGGCTAGTTGGATGTTAAGCGCTAAGTGGTTAGTAGTACTGAAGATCTATGAAGAGAGCTTTGGTTCGGAAATTATAACTCTAGTAATGCTGATTGAAGTACCTTATTAGGTAGTATACTTAATATATTATACTTAATTATATTTTAACATCCTACCCTGTGGAGCCCAGGAATCTTTACATATGGAGTTCCTGATTGACCCTTAACATTTTTGATGGATTGATTAGCAAAAAATTTTTTTTAAATAATTACCTTTTTCGAGAGAAGATTTTGCACAGCTCGTTTGACGGCCGCGGGTCCAGTTAGGGCCTCGGTGTTCTCAGAACCTAATAGCAACACGTGGCATGCGGCTCCAGTGGCCAGTAGGGCCCGCGCCGCTGCGTTCGCATTGCCGCCAGACCATGGATCTCTGTAAATTTGAGTCAAAATAAAAGAAAAATACGAAAAAACGTCAAATGTCAAGGAAACTAAATCCCATGGATTTGAGGAGAAGTAATTGAGGAGCACATAGGGTTAATACAGTAGCGAGTTTAGAAATCAGACAGTTAAGCACTATGTAATTAACTAGCAAATTCCTGTCCAAACGATGATAAGAGATTAAATCAATCACCAAGACCGTAGGTTAACTGGCTATTGTATTTACCGGAATGTAAATCAGTCTGACGGAGTCTTTGGAGAGGTGGTGTGGTGCCGATAATAAGTTCGATATTAAATCGTCGGGTATCTCACTATCTGCGTAGTGGCTGGTGTTGGCCTTACAAAAAGTGTCGACGGGCAAAACTCACATATCGAGTAGTCTCAGTGGAACGGGTGGTGCTATTGGCGAAAACAGTAGTTAGTAAACGTATTGAAATTGAGTAGAATACGGGCTCGTTGGGGCAGCTACGTAACAGTAGGGCACGAGCCTATTATTTACAACAACAAGTGATGAACAAAACCCACCGGTCGGGTAATCTTAGTGGGATGGGTGGTACCAGCACACTAGAGCCGCCAGAAGAACAGCTGGCGAGCTGCGTCAGTTTATGTGTTGTCACCATCTTGAAGTGCTCCCTACTGGGTTGCCTTAGATAAGTGTACTGACGGTGTGTTGGTAAACTAGAGCTGCAGTGCTATTCTGCTGATAAGAAGCTGAACACAGGTTCGCCAGAGAAGCCTCGTAGCCGCACGCCTTGAGCCTATTGGCTGTACCAACAAGGGTCGAAAAAAACTCACTTATCTGGTAGCCTCAATGGAACAGGCAGTGCCAGCGCAGGTGTGTTGATAAACTATAGGTTAACCGCTTAACTGAGACCTCGCCTGCGGGGCACAGGGTGGGGGAGGACGAAAACGGAAACCGTGAGAGGTGTGGCTGGCAGGCATATTCTTGTCAAAATTACAAGTGCCCGCCGCCCGCACCTCTCATGGTCCCCGTTTTCGTCCTCCCCACACCCTTTGCCCCGCAGGCGAGGATTCAGTTAAGCGGTCTACCTATAGTGCTGATAGCGAGCTAAACATGGGCTCGTCGGGATAGACGCACAGACTATCGGCTATAGGTATAATATAGGACTACGAGTTAGTTTATTTACCTGTCAGGTAGCCTCAGTGGAACGGGCAGTGCTAGTGGCGTGACGGTGTGTTGGTATACTAGTGCTGACAGTGAACTGAACACGGGCTCGTCAGGACAACCCCGTAGTCGCACGCCTCGAGCCGTCGGTTCTACGAGGAAATGTCTGACCCCGCCCGCGGGACCCGCTCTGACAGCAAGTCCGAATCCGCCGGGGAATGAGTTCGAGTCGCGTACGATGAACGCGCCTTCTTCCAACGGCTGGAGAGCGGCTACCGCTGCAAAATTATATAAAATATCAGCCTGGAATACAATAATAAGCCATCGGTGGACTGTTCTGTGGTCTATTCTAAAGAGTTTTATGAAAAGTGCGATAATATACGTAGATTCTTCTACTTGACATTGGTAATTTCAACTTATTTGTGATAAGATATCACCCAGAAAATCTATGCCACGTCTGTCAGATAATATCCAGACACTACCTGACAGACAGATAATCTCTGGTCGAACTGTATTCATCGGTAGGTATACTTGAGAATATACTTAGTAAAAAGGGGGCACCAGATGCATACAAGTTTGATTGATTTTTTTCTTGTATTCCCGATTTTGACTATTGAGAAATTATCAATTTCATTACAAGAAGAGATCAAATTCAATATAGTGTAGCTCCCGGGGTGAATGAAATTTATAAATTCAAAATGGAATGTATAGCTACTAATATACTTTTTCATATAAGTATATACTTATAAAAAAAAGTTTACCAATTCAAAAGTTGTGAGTTGGCAATCGTCATAACATATTTCTTTTAATATATCGTTGTCGGCAAATTGTATGAGCATAAACAAAATCAGTCTGTAAATGGACATAGAGACATAATTTACAATTACGAAAACTATGATATATTGCGTGAGCTCAAACTCGTACTAAGGGTACTTACTGACTGCTCTGAGGCCCTACAGCCTTCGATACGCTCAGGTCATTTTGAATTTAGGTAAAATTTAATGTATACCTAAGAATACAAATTTTGTGCACGGACCACACCTCTGAAGTGAAACTGCTTTTTTATATAACTTAACATTAGGCGGTGCTTAAGGGGAATGGAGCAGCGCACGCATCACTCATATATATGTATATATTGTCGCGTGTGGCTCCCGTAGTACACACAAACCCACACACAAAATAGTTCCAAATCACATAACAAATGCCTCGGGAACACTTTTCATTCGTAAAAGTGTAAAATCACGTTTTTTCGTGAATGTTCTTTACGTAATCGTTATTTTGTTATCAAGAAAAACACAACGATACAGCTCAGCCTTACGGACACGGAAGCGGACTCGCCGTTTCACTCGCGCTGCGTTGTAGAGTATAGTTCGGTCTCGCTCGCTCGATTGAATTTTTATATAGAGACGTGTGAGAGTTGTTTATGTAGTTTAGTCGGATCATATTTTTTTGATGCTAGAATGAGCGTACCGTATCTTCCCTTTTTGTTTTAATCTAAGAATTTATAGAATAATAAACAAAATTACATTTCAACCATAAAAAAATATTCACTGTTTCAAAAGTAGGAGGTCTAAACCCTTAGAGTGCCCTAGACGCTACACTAATAGTAAATGCTGGTGTATATCCACCGTCGTCGCGCGATATGTTGGGCTTGTACCAGTGGTGGCTGGTGTCGCGCGCGAGCCGCATGCGATCTCTTAGGTGACGAGTTGAGGAACTTGTAGTTAAGTGTGGGCTGCTGTTTCTTAAATCAATAGTAATTGCAGGTGGATATTCACCGTCGTCGCGCGAAATGTTGGGCTTGTACCAGTAGTGGCTGGTATCGCGCGCGAACCGCACGCGGTCGGGCGCCACGTGCTGTGGCTCCGCGCCGCCGCCCAAGCTCGAGCGCCGCGACCCGCAGCTGCCGTTGTACGTGCGGTACTCAGACTCGGGGCTGCCGTCGCGCTCCTTCCTGTTAACAAATAACACAGTGAGATGATTAAGCAACTGGCTCCATGGTTGATCAAACACAAGTAACCTAGTAAGGAGCATGGCCCTTTATGGGACGCTGATAAAATCAGCTCGGTGCAGCAGGGTTACTATTTAAAAAAAATTAAAGTCCTGACAAAACTGTCCCTTCCTCTCGGATCTCCGTAGTGAGCAGACGTGTCCGCAGTGTTTACCCAAAAAGTTAAATTATAACAACAAATAAAACTAGAAAACAACATTCAAACTAAAATCTCTCCTTTACACGCGTTATTATAATCAGTGATAGCCACGCCTTTTGTATCACGCCGTATCTGAGTGTTTTTTATCCTACTCACACGCACGAGATGTCGACGCAGCGCACCCCACCACAGAACATTTCTACGCTGACAAGGTCCGAGTCAGAGCGGAGCATCAGTGCAGCGATGAGTGATGGCGCGACGGATGCATTGAAAGTTACGCATAGGTACAAGCGGTTCCGGTATGAGGATGAGCCCCGACCAGATGTAAAGACCGAAATGCGTGAACTATTCAATGAACTCAAGGAGGATCAAAATAAAAGGTTTGAGGTGCTTCAGGCTACTGTGTCGACTATTTCCACACAAAACAAGAAAATAAGTGCATCTGCTATTTTAATATCACAACAATACGACGATATGAAGATAAAACTCGACAACTTAGAAAAGGAAAGAAAATATTACCTTGCGTATATATAAACCCTTGAACAGCGAATTGACTATTTGGAAAACCAAAACAGATCGTCGTGTGTTGAGTTCCATAATATACCATTAAAAAAAGACGAAACAAAGTGTAATTTAGCTGAAATAGTGGTGAATGCTGGGGAGCTGGTAGGTCTCAAAATGTCACAGTCAGATATTCGTGATACTTATCGTGTGTTTTCTAAATCGGCCCAAAGACCGATAATTGTAAAGTTTGCTAGTGTAATCACGAAGGAACAATTTCTTAGTTCAGTAAAAGAACACAACTTGAAATATAAAAAATTGGTTTCTACAGATCTCGGCATCGATGGGCCGGAGAAACCTGTATATGTGTCTGAGTGCTTATCAAATAAAATAAAGAGGCTTTTATACTTAGCAAGGGGTTTTGCAAAGTCTAACGATTATCGTTACTGTTGGTCAGCTCATGGGAAAGTTTATTTAAGAAAAATGGAAGGTAACCCTTTAATTCGCATTGAATGTGAGGCAGACTTAGCAAAAATAAAAGAGGAATGACTATTTACTGTATCAAATTTTAAAAAATATTTAATTTTGCATGTACTTATTTTTGGTTTTTGTATTGCTATTTATTTAAATAATTATTTATATTTGATTTTTTACATAATGATTCGATGCACACACCGTTATAACTTTATTTTAATAAGCTATTGTTACTGAAAATATATAGAATTATAATAAATATGAGTGGCAATGCGTGTTTTATGGTAAGTGTGGAGGTATATACTTGTATTTACAAATTCCCTGGAGTTATTTTAATTCAGATAATTATAAAAACATACTTTTGTCTACTTTGTAATGGAGATTACATTTATTTCAAAATTGAGTTACAGGTACAGGGTCATTCGATTGGTACTAATTATAAATGGATTCTTTAAGACAAACATTATATGATCTGGACAGTTTTAGTGTTTCTCAGTTGTTTGTAGTTTCTGCTGATCAGTGTTCTATGTATGTAGACACAAATTTAGACAATTTAACCTTATTTCATGTAAATATCCGAAGTGTACTACGAAACTTTGATGAACTTTGTGTACTATTAAAACGAATAAAAATAAAATGCGACGTTATTATCTTGACAGAATGTTGGATCAGTAAAACGCACACCATACCAGAGATTGATGGGTACACTTCTTATGGGTCTACGTATAGAAATCAAAATGAAGGGGTAATAATATATGCTAAAAAAGAATTAAATTGTAAAATTAGTGCCCCAAATATTAGGGACGGAAACTGTTTAATATTGACCTGGGGAACAGAGTTAGCTGTTGTTGCAATTTACCGTTCTCCCTCCTACAACCCTAACAGTAACTTTTTTGTCTGTCTCGATGAAACCATTGAAAATCTTACTATGTACAAAAACTTAGTGTTAATAGGTGACATAAATATTAATATTACACCAGAAAATACTGACCCCCACTCGGAGCAGTATTTAAATCAGACCGCAGCCCGAGGCATTTTACCCGCTCATTTATTCCCCACACGGGAAAGTAGGTGTCTAGATCATGTCTTAATGAGAACAAAATGGAATGCCACCACACTGGTCTTGAACTCACTAATCACCGATCACTCACCTTTATTAGTTAGTTTTTCAAACAAAAGATGTTTAGACAAAAGGGTAACTCAAAAAACAAAAATAGACTATAATACAGTTGAAAAAGAATTGAGAACCACTGACTATTCAACAATTTTTTCGTCAAATGATGCGAATAATTTAGTTAAAATAATATCCCACGCTGTGAAAAATAATACAAAAAATATTTCAATTACAAATAGAAGTAGAGTGCTAAAGCCATGGATGACGACTGGTCTTCTGAGGTGCATAAAAAATCGAGATAAACTGCATATGCAAACTAAAAAGAACCCAGAAAATATGATAATAAGATTAACTTACACACGTTACAGAAATTTTTGCACCAACCTTTTTAAAAAAATTAAAAAACAATACGAACAAGATGAATTTCAGAAGGCCAAGCGAAATCCAAAGCAAACTTGGGAAATAATAAAGAACATAGGTCATATTAACAAATCAAATACCAAAGCAACAGAACTTTTAAATATAACTAGCGAACCGATCACTTCTTTAAACAAAGTAAACAAGTTTTTTGCAAGTATAGGTGCGAATCTTGCAAACAAAATAGTTACTCCTACTACTCCTACTTTTACAATAAACGAGGCGATTTCGGAATGTAGAAACTCAATGGTATTGGGTAAAACCAATGATCCTGAAGTTTTTTCAGTAATTATGGGGTTGCGCTCTGATAGTGCCACAGGTTGGGATGGTATTCCCGCTAAGGTTTTAAAGATGTCAGCGCAGGTCATTGCTTCTCCCCTCAGTCATGAGTGTAACCTGTGTTTTGAAAACGGTGTTTTTCCGAATCAGTTTAAAATTGGTCTTGTACACCCAATACATAAGAGCGGTGATAAAGATGATATAAATAACTACAGACCGATTTCTGTATTGTCAACTCTTTCTAAAGTTTTGGAAAAAATAATAAATAATAGACTGCTTAATTTTCTGGACAAATATAAAATTATAGCTTCTAACCAATTTGGATTTCAGAAAGGCAAATCAACAGAGGATGCTGTTTTGGACCTTTGTAACTCAGCAATTGACAGTATAGATAAAAAACAAAGTTATAGGCATATTTCTCGATATAAAAAAAGATTTCGATACAGTATCAGTAAAAATTCTATTAGATAGTCTAAATCGCATTGGTATACGCGGTCATGTACTCGAAATTTTTAAAAATTATTTAAGTAACCGAACTCAGAGGGTAAAAATAGATATGCATACAAGTGACGAGGAACACGTAACTTTTGGCGTTCCGCAGGGTAGTGTCTTAGGACCGACACTCTTCTTAATTTATATAAATATTTTTTGTAAACTTAAGACAGACAACTGTAAAGTAGTCACTTATGCAGATGATACTGCACTTATAGTGAAAGGTGTTTCCTGGAAAGATGCCCAAATAAATGCAGAAAATGCTCTTAGACAGGTGACGAGTTGGCTATCATGTAATCTATTAACCCTTAACACAGACAAAACAAAGTTTATTACTTTCTCAAGCACGACGAGAGCGCAGACAAATAATTTCTGTATAAAGGCACATACTTGCTCCAACGCAAAAAATTTTAACTGCTGTGTTTTGGAAAAAACGCCTCACATAAGATATTTGGGTTTCCAAATCGACAGTTGTTTTTCCTGGAAACCACATGTTGATAGTCTAGTCACAAAAATAAGGAAGCGCCTGTTTGTTTTCAGAAAACTTAGAACTTCAGCGAACCTCAAAACTTTAAAGCCAGTTTATTATTCTTTAGTGCAGTCACTCATATCATACTGTAATTTAGCTTGGAGTGGAACTTGCAAAACAACATTAATAAAAGTAGAAAGAGCCCAAAGAGCTGTTATTAAAACAATATTAAAAAAGAAAATCATTTATCCTACAGTAGCTATTTATAAGGAATTTCAAGTTTTAACGGTTCGACAGCTATTTATTTTAGATGTCGTACTTCGAAAACATTCCGAAACCCCATATCACGAAGAAGAAAATAGATACAGGAGACGAGTTCATATTTGCAATACTGTACCGCAACGAACTAGTCTTGCTCGACGTAGTTACATAGCAGTAAGCACTCAATTATATAACAAACTAAATAAAGTTCTGAAAATTTTCCAATTCACAGTATTCAAATGTAAGGCAGTGATAACCAGTTGGTTACTGGGACTTAATTATGATGAGACGGAAAAATTGTTGATTGCAATGGCTTAGGAAGTTAAACATAAAAATGAACTAGGTATGTTGTTTATAATGTTAGTTAATTTAATAAGTATGATTAATTAGTATATAAAAAGGGTAAGAATAATAAATAATGTATGAAATGATTTATTATTTATTTGTAAAATGATTTATCTAAAACTCGTAAATCGCACTTACTTCAGTATTATAATTTAGTAATGCAAATTTTTAGCAAAACCAAAAATCTAATCTATTGTTATTTTGGCGTTATGGTTATTTAAAAGATTACATTCTGCTTGCATGACATTATTAAATGTATTATTTATTTATGGGAAGTCGCTGGTACCTGCCATACAGTTTATACTAGTGCAGATACCAACGCTCCAATGAAATGTAATTGTTGTTTCATTAATTAAAAAATAAAATTTTAATATATATATATATAAAGTACAACACGTGAAATGAAATGAATAAATTATTATTATTATTAAAAAGCCGGACATTTCGATAAAAGTCCGGACATTTTAGTCATAAAATGTAAACATCACCCACTTAGTTAGGGGCTGTTCAAGTATTACGTAAGCACTATAGGGGGGCAGGGGGTCTCTGCTTTGCTTATTTTTGATGACTTGGGGGGGGGTGGGGGGTAGAGATGGTGATTACGTCAGCATCATCGATTAAACCTTTTTCATGCCATGAAGCTCATAAATCAATAAAAAAACAGAATACATTAAAGGAAAAATGCATATAGGTACCAATGTTTACGTAAGGATGGGGGGAAGGGGTAAGAGCTTTGCTTACTTTTGCTGACAAGGGGGAGGAGGGCGAAATAATTGTAATAAATCTGCTTACGTAATACTTGAACGGCCCCTTACAGTGATATTTATTATGCGCGTTTTAGCAGACGATCGCATCTCGAGGGGGGTCTCGTTGTTGATTTTTAAAGATAATTTATATTTTGTTTAAATTAATGAGAATTTAAAAAAGATTATTTGATATATCATAATAAGTAGTTTTACTTATATTCCAACTAATTAAAAAAATCCGGACGAAGTCCGGAAACAAGGCAAAAAGCCCGGACATGTCTGGACAAGTCCGGACGGATGGTAACCCTAGGTGCAAGGTACTGCTGCAGAGGCCACAGAGAATAGTGACGTAGTGGCTGTGCGAGGGCGTGCGTCGGGACTGCCGGCGTTCCCATGCGCGGTTGTCATATCATACCTGGTGACTGGCGGCGAGCGCGGCGGGCGGGCGCTGAGCGAGGGTGTGGGCGTGGGCGGGTAGGGCGTGCGCGGGTGCGTCGGGAACGCCGGCGTGCCCGCGCGCGACTCCGACCGCGACCAGCTTTCGGATCGCTCTCGCACCTGAATAATAAACAACAAAATTTAGTAATGACGAAGTGCGATTCAAACTTTATTCATCACTGATGAATACTGGGTGCGTGGCCAGTCTTGACGGGGAACCACAACCACACCCGCACTCTCGATACATTCTAGCTCGATGCAGGAGTATGGTTGTTACAGGAATAGATTAACATATTAAACCATGCATGCCAACCACAATGTGTGCAGAGGTAGTGAGCGTTATTAAAGCGTGTTGAAGGTGTCTGGGTCGTTATTGTCAAGCATTATTTGGCACGACATCTTAGGTCAACCGAAAATTCGGAAATTGTAGTTTCCTCTCATATTATTCTATCATTTCATTTTCTTTTGTTCTTTGCAGTTTTACTTACAATGTTTTCTCCATTGGTGATTGGTTCTGCAAAAGACAGTAAACCAGGCGCCTGAGTACTAGTCGGTGTGGTATTGGTACTCCATTCGCGCATCGTCATCTTTTCATACATGAATTTCCTAGATGAGGTTCTGAAAAAAAAACAAAATAGTTCATATTCAATGGTTCGTTAGTAGTGCTATAGTTCTAGGTTTAAGTAAGTAGGTTTTTTACCTGTCTGGTGCTTGCGGACTGATGCTGTCTGTCCTGAGGGCAGTTCGTGATGTGTTGACGTGCAGGGGTACGCTGAAGTCGTCGTCATCGTCAGCGAACGCTGTCGTGTCACTGGTATAGCCGTCCACCCTAAAGATTAGATTGACATACACCGATAAAAAGACGCGTATTCAATGTACATTCGAAGTAATAAATTTTGATGACCTTAACCGATTAATAAAAACATCAGTTTCAACTGGCTTAAGATGCGTTTTTAATACTTTTATACATATCTCAAAGTTTTATTATTCGTCCAAATTTAATAAAATCATACTCTTCAGAACGGAGTCTCCAAAGGATCCGAAAGTGAAAGAAGTGTTTATAAGTATTAATGAATTGCATCTTAAACTCGTTGAAACAGAGTTTTATTTAATTTGAGTGGTGTGAATAAAAACATAACAAATAAAGAACTCTTAATAAATTTTATATTTTAAGGTCTTTACAAGTCACCATGATCATAAACAGCGCCAGTCTTGTTTCTGCGTGCGAATACAAATTGGTTTGATGTAATCATCCATCATAATCATATTAAAAAGTGTCGTAGTAAGTAGGTATATTAAATATTGTTATACGGCTGCATGTGCCATTTTTTTTAATGTTTAAAAAGATTAAACAACATAGCATTCAGGTTATTAAAGTTCTGCCTAGGCATTTAGTAGAACATACAAATTATTATTATCGTATGTACAGAATAGGTAAACAAGGTTGCAAAGATCATCTTGGGTGAGCGGCGCAGCACGCGTGTCACTAAAATATTGTAGTGCTGGATGTAAGTAAGTATAAAAGAAATATAATATTCTAGTATTGTAGAAATAAGTGATGATTAATTTTTTCCTCCCTTTTTGACTGCGAATAAAGAACCGACACCTGTTTTCATACGAAATACGACTGGCCCCTAGATGGCCCTTTCCATTTACAAGTTTTCTTTTGCTATCTCCAGATCGTATGTCTGTCATAAAATAGTAAGTGAAGAAGAAATTTACCTGTGACTGGCCGATCGTCGTACATGCCTCGAAGGAGCAGTATCCCATTCCAGAGGTAGTCTCGCAACCCTTTCTCTGGCTTCTTTCCGTTCTCTCAGCTTCTGCTGCTGCCGTTGTAGCCACGTGAGTCCGGTGAGTCCCTCTAGGGCGCTGTCAGATCTTCTCGGTCCATTCGCTCGTGACGTCTCGTGCCATCCCAATGTGCTAGCTGATCGCCAAGTTCCGTTCTCTGGCGTTTTTCTCGTACTACTCGCCGGCCTTACCGCCCACTCCGTCTCGCCATTTAGCCATCTGATAGAAAAACACACAAGCTAGCTAATAAGGTGATCATTAAAGTATTATATAATTTGACATCATACAATACCTTTATGCTTTATGGAGCATCGAACACGTATTATCATTAAAGTAACTTTTTGTTATATGGACCTAAAGCCCGTTCCGTTTTAGTTTTGTTTTATGATTGCGTAGGACTAAGGTTTGCGTGCTTATATGGCATCAGTCAACTTGACAGTTGTAAACAGTGGGTGTTCAGGTGTTGAGGATAACTCACGGTATTTTTATAAATTGTTAATGAGAATATTAAACAACTTCCGTGCTTCTAGTAGAATGGAATGTCACACCGAAGTGGATCGTTCGCAAATAAGTTCTCGTATTTGTTTAGATGACTTAATGAAGTTGTAGAAGCAGTAGATAGTATTTATTAGAAAGTAACATTATGATTGTGAAGTTTGAGCCGACGGCGGCGCCTGACCAGTCGCCAGCCCCCGTTTATGGCGGCGTTTATCTCGAAATAGCAACTTGTTTGGGTCACAGCGGCGACGCAATCACACCAAACGACGCCACCGCTCCAAATCAATCATAGAATTGCAATACAAATTCATTTTTAGAAGTAAACTAAGCAGCTGTGTATCATGTAAGGTAGCGAGCGGCGATTATAATTATACCAATTGGGCAAGATTCGAAGTAGGCTTTGGTAGTACGAGTCATGCGTATCGATAGGCTAAGGCTCACGCCATCGGTTATAGACTCCCTCTTTATCGGAACAAACAAACTGCAAGTATTTCCAACTATGGTCATAGTAAATGGAAAATTGTAAAGGTATTCAGTAAGTGTTGTATAAAGAATGGCAACACTCCGCAGCGTGGTCAGCTATGCAAAACGCGCGTTTATGTGGAGACACTGCCACTCAATCGCCGCCCACGCCTACAAATCCACCCAATTACTAACGTCAACACTGTTTCCGTTTTTGTTCATTACAATTTATTTTATTATCTTTAAATCGTGATTTGTTGCACGTTGGACGACAATCGGTTAACGGGTAATAACTAGACAACTAGCTCCAGCAATATGTCTAATTTTATTAAAAACCTGTAAATTAAGGCAGAAACATATGGCGTGTCATGACGCGCCCGATGCATATTGGTTTCATACCTTTATTATGGTTAGAGATATATTTATCGTGTCGACATGACCTCGACCAAATATTTCATGTGGGGATATACACGACACGTAAATATGTTTCTGCCTTTAATCTTTTCTTTGTTTTCCACGGAGAATGAAAGGGGAAAAATACATGCTAAATTCCCCAGGCCAAATGATTGTTTATTTTGGTAATGACCTCTTCTGACCTGAGTGATTACAGAAAATGTACCATTATCCAATTTCATTTTTAAGCATTTAACTGCTCCATGTTTAAATCTAAAGAAAATGTTACTAGAAAAAAATTTGGGTTACCTACAATGCGAAGAGATGGCGCTGACTTGCTGCCTAAGAAATACTAGAGAAAATTCGACATGGCCATTAGGGTTGCGATAGCATAATGGTCAGTGCATCCGCCCAGATAGCGGAGGGTGTGCGTTCGAGGTCCGTCTGCTGCCTGGTCCGCTTGGATTTTTTTCTGGTTACATTTTCCAATATCCCATGTTGAGTGAGACCCGTACCCCTAGTACGAACCAATATCGAATTCGTATCGTTTACGAGTTCGAAATGTCATTGTCAAATGTGTACTGATTTTTAGTTCTCGTTACGTACTTTGTGCCGTTGCTGTTCAAGTTTCCATACAAAATTTGACATTGACATTTCGGTTTGCAAACTATTCGAATTCGATAATGGTTCGTGCTAGGGGTACCGGATACTTTATTGATCAGTAGGTAATAATTAAAAGTTTGGAGGACATTCCTTCTAATTGGACTTTAATTTTTTTCAAAACATTATTTGTGTGATGATCTATATATATACGATTAGTCATTTAATTTTCACTTTCACATTTGTTTGCTAAATTTCATTGACGGAGTGTGTTGATATGAAAGCCATCTCTAATAGAGATATGGCCATTAGAGGTATTACAACGCAATATGAACGAACCATTTTAAGATAGCCCTACCTACATAATGTCGGTACTTAAAAACGTAAGACACATGTACCTAAGAACTGGCGCATTATCTATCACAAATCACTTATTCAACCACTGCCTACATGCTACATGTCGAGAGGGGGGGCACTCAAAAGATCCATGCATAATGGCGTTTAAGATCGTGATTGACAGGGTTGATATCTGCCATTTATCTGGCTCTATCAGCTCTACCGATTACGACGTGAACACATAATAGGCTGTACCTATAACTTTTTGCCTTGTTACAAATGCTAATTTTAACATTATGAACATCAATCAATACACGCGATTGTGTACTAAGTATCTTGTATTGCATATTTAACACTACCTAATAGACACAAAATAATGAGCTGATATTTCTTAAAATTTCATTAGTAATTATATTACTATTAGCAATATAATTACTAATGAAATTTTAAGAAATGTCAGCTCATTATTTTTTTGTCTATTATTTTTTTTTCGCTATTTCAAAAAAAAGAACACGAGGAAAACTTAGGACCGTTGTTGTTTTTAATTTGGGTTTTTTTCAAGTTTGTTTTTTTTCTTTGCAAAATAGTGTTATATGAATGTATTTGATGTCTGATCAGACATATTGCTTTGAAAAACTAACATTCTTCAAACGTGCGCCGTTAACTGCGTTCATACTTCAAATAAACATAAACCGAATGGGGAATCCGTGGATTTTCCGTACCTACGTCGTGAGTTAGTTGGTAAATCTAAATGGTAGGTTTTAAAATACACAGAAAAATATTAAAGTTTTATATAAAAATGCTCTTACGGATGCTGCTCTAAAAAATCTTTAACGGAAAGCTTCTTAATAATTTTGTCCTTGTGAAAAAATGTGCTCCGGAAAAGAACACGTTTTTTCATGGTTTTTTCACGCTAGAGAAAATAAAGAAAGCTGTTTTTTTTGCAACTTAAGATAGTCTTACAATTTGTACCTATTAGTACGAACTAGTACCATAGATTTATTTTAGTAGGTATCTTGCTTGACGTTTCGAAGCTTTTTAGATTTTTACTGGCTATTGGCATTGATGCAGGTAGGTATTGGAAGTTATCGGTGAATTTTACTGTGCATAAAAACAGGAATGATTATGTATTTAAATTATTATTAAAAACAAGACAAAGAAGTCTTCAATAACTCGTCTCACTGTTGTGAGATATGTGAGTATAAAAATTTAATTAAAACAGAAGCAGTAAAATTCCGTTCCAAATGTTTGTTGATTTAAGTATTCTACATAAATGTACGTACCTACTTGTGTGAATAACAACATATTTAAATATACAAAATATAATATTAACATTACTGTATCATAATAAATATGTTGTCGGTATTGAATATGAGTAACAGTATGGAATTTATAATCAAACAGAACATCGTTGTATAGCTCAATCAAACATTCGTAGAAATAAAGAACACGGTGGGTACCTAATTTTATTATAGAAGCTGTGTGTAATAAGGAGAATAAACTATCACTTAAGTATCATTCTAATAATGAGACGGTCGAAAAGGTAAATATTTATAGTTTCGTTTTTACTTCCACAATTTAACTTATATTATGTCTAAATCTAAAGAAAATTTTACTAGACAAATCCACGCGGACCAGGCAGCAGGCAGGACTTTAGATTTAAACATCAAGTAGTCAAATCCTTAACAAATTAAAAATATAATCATTTTATGTCTGTTTCACAATAATTGATATTTCCTTTTTTTTTTTCTTTTTTCTTTTCCTTGGGGGAGGCCTATGCTCAGCAGTAGGCGTCATACGGCTGACATGATGATGATGATGATGATCTTTCGTTTCCACAGACCTTATAAATCACTTTTTTATCGGAGGATTTTAGAGCTTTTCAAGAGGTTATTTAAAGAACGTCACAAATAAAACATAGGTTAATGTTCAGCGAAGACTCATTGCTTACAGATATAATTATTATTTTCTGTTATTATGGTCTTAAGACCATAGCATTCAAATTCGAAAAATAAAAATAGATGCGGAGTACTTAATATTAAGCCTAACATATACGGATTAACATTATTAACATTAAATGTATACAAGTGTTCTAATATTCTCTGCTATTAAAAGATTTTAAAGGATTTGCTTTATTCGAGAAGTTCTCTATAATATTTACTATATAGGATAAACATATGGATTAAATTTGGTACGTATATAGTTTATGACCTGGATTGAGACAAGGAATAGTTCATATCCAGAAAAAAAAATCTAGGGTCCTAGGATTGTCAAAAAACTAAAGCGGCGCTAGGACCTGCTTACAAAATAACAATAAATACTATATCAGTAATTTGTATAGTGAAGTGTTTGTTATAGTAACGCTAGCTGACCCAGCGAACTTCGTACCGCCATAAAAATAGAGGCAGGTGTTAGAAGAGAAAATTTAGGGTTGCATGTATTTTTAATACATTATAAAAAAAAATATTGTCCAAAAAAATTTTCGGGTTGTGTAACGTAGTGTTCTATCAATTTCCCAACACCCATATGAGAACACTACGTTACAATACCCAATAGTTTGAATTTTGACGCGAAGGCGCATCGTAGGTTTCAGGACACTACGTTACAGGTGGACAACCATTATCACTTAAGGATATGAAAAATAGATAGTAGGCGATTCTCAGACCCCACGGAATATGTATACAAAATTTCATAAAAATCGGTCAGGCCGTTTTGGAGGAGTATGGTAACTAACATTGTGACACGAGAATTTTATATATAAGATTATATTCCTACATCACCGCCACATACACTCTATTGAGCATAATAACAGTAATTTGCTCCTTGTTACGTACTTGAGAACTTGCTCGATTGAATATAAACTACGTTGTACAGATACAGTGTGGCTGATTCTTAAAGTAACCGATTTGGATGTAGCTATACACAGAAGG